TATTTTATTAAATAAAATTCAAAAAATTTATATGAAATTCGATAAGTCGGTTTACTCGATAAGTCGGTCAAATGTGCTTGCCCCTGCGTGACCGACTTATCGAGTTTATATATGTATTATTATTATTTGCTATTTTAACGGATTAGCTCGTTACCAATCCGGATGAAAAAAATCATAATGGATTCTTAACGGGTCCATAACTTTAACCCGTTAACAATCCGGTCGTAACTCTATTTACATTTCGAAATGCATGTACGGAAATTTATGAATGTATGTATGTATTCAAGCTTTAATACTATCGGGTTTAATTAATTAATCAATCGGATTTAATCGTCTAAATTTAGCTACTATGTTGAATACAAAAAAAGGATATTTTAATTCGCTCTTTTTTTTTCATTCATTTATTTCCTTCTCAACACTATTCACAATTGCTACTAATAAATTAGCCATCAACCATCGCTTAATTTATCACTAAATACCATTTTGCAATTAATAATTAGAGATAAATCTTGAATGTCAGCGACATTTTTATAATATAAACAAAAAACTAAGCCATTCTTTGAATATAAATGCACTAAAATAAAAAATGAACAAAACATTTTAGCGTTTTTCTCTTGTAATTACCTCTTTAATTATTTCCGCGTCCTTAATGCTTGTTCTCATAAACTATGCAATTTTCGATGTTAAAGTTTCTCCATTTATAAAAGGAAGAAGCCCCATTTCAAAACTCCCGCTTATTGACGAAACTATAACAGAATTAATCGTTCAATTATCACCATCATCAGATGTATCGAAAGCTAATCAAACTCTTTCGGCGAATTCTTTGAAAAAAGCTATAGAATGCAGAGACATGATGTGTGCATTTAAGGATTTTGGTTTTTCTCTATAAACAACGATCTGATGTGTAAGTTATACCGATTTATTATTTATTTTCTGAATGTCAATCAATCGATCGATCAAATTAATAATTTGTTTATGATTTACAGGCTCTTGTCAAAATAATAATTTAACGAAAGAATACAACTCAATCAAATCAGTGCAACATACTTTGTAACAATTTAGAAAAGATTTGGTAATATTTTGGAAAGAATTGGCAACGATACTATCTCTCTCTGGAAATTTTCGAAAGAAAAGGAAAATTTTCGTTTCACAAAATTGAT